ATGTGAAGCCTGAGTACGAAGCCTTGGCAACACAGGTTGTGGTCTTGTGTTTGAAGACTTGACAGCGTGGTTTCCCGCATGGCTTACAACCTGATTCACTGCTTTCAGATTCGGTAGTCTCAGCTCTAACTAGAATGTCTTTTATGTTCTTTCCGTGGCGGTATACCACTCGCGCTGGCTCCGTGAAAATTGAGGGTAGACGCGCACTATGCTGTATAATGTTAGAATTTTTTAAAAGGTTATTGTTGAGGTGTGGTGTAGTGGACGAGTATGTGACGACAAGGTTAGTTTGCTTTTTTGAATGGCTTGGTTTTGAGCCCAACAAAATTTTGTTCCTATCTAAACTACGCGCCCGGCTGATAGCATCATCGATAATTCTCTTTGGGTACTCTTTTGCCACAAGGGCCCTTTTGAGATCCTTCGCATGACCTTCGGTATCTGACACCTCCGAACAAATTCGGCAGTATCGTTGGGCTTGCGAGTATGGGATGGCTGTCTTGGTGTGGTGCGGATGGCTACTCCTAAAATGAAGATACTGATGGCAATCCATTAGTTTTTGTATAGGTTCGTGCAAATTTGGTTCTCATAAATTTGAACAGTAACATCGAGAAAGTTTATAATTGACTTAGAGTAGGTGTGTGTAAACGAGATTGATGAGTGAGTTGAATTAAGTTCATCTATGAATTTCAGCAGATTTTCTTCTCCGTGATGCCAAATCATGAATATATCGTCCAAGAATCTTTTGTAGACGAAAGACTTTAATGTCCTGGTTGCAAGAAAAGGTTCCTCAATGGATGACATAACATATTCGTGTAATTAGGAGCCGTATTTGTACCCATAGCTGCGCCATATAACCGAAGAAATTGCTTAATATTGAACTCAAAGTTATTGTGACTGAGTACCAATTGCAGCGAAGTCGACAACTTGTCCTCATTTAAGCACACCGGCACACTGACCTCCTTAAAAGCTGCGACTGTTGCATCAATGCCATCTCACGGTGGGATATTTGTACAGAGTCACACTACATCTATTCTTACAAGGATTATATCGTTAGGATCCTCGAGTCCGGTGATTTCACGGAGAATGGGGTTAGTGTCCCTAATGTATGAGGGGATAGCTCAAACAATATCCTTCATGATGAAGTCTTGCGCGCTTGACATTATTTCTGTTACTGTGTCGTTGCTTGAAACAATAGGAGGTTGGCTTTGTGTATTATAGGGAGCAAGTAAAAGTGGCCTGGAGCAGGCTGCATTGGATGCATTGCCTTGAAAAAATCATCCGTGATTTTTCCGTTCTTACAAAGCGAATTTAGTTCATGATATATTTCTGACTCGAATAATTTGGTGCGGTTCTCTTCAAGTTCGGCATAGCAGTTCTTGTCCTTAGCATGCCGATAGCCCTATCTCAGGTACCAGTTTTACCTAATATTGCTATCGTGCCACCCTTATTTGCAGGCCTAATTACCAATTCCGCTCGATAGCCTAGGAGCTCCAGTGACTTACACTCTTCTGAGGAGAGATTGTTTCCATAGCGCCGTGTTTTAAATGCAAAGCATTTCTTAGCAAGCTTTGGTGATTTTGAGGGTATCTATCTATCTATCTATCTATCTATCTATCTATCTATCTATCTATCTATCTATCTATCTATCTATCTATCTATCTATCTAGCTATCTATCTAGCTATCTATCTATCTATCTATCTGTCTATCTAGCCGCTTACGTTTGAGTGCTTTCGTGGTCATCCCCTTAACTTGGCGTGAACCAAAACTAGCATGGGAGGCTAAGATGATTTGACAGATATGATGCGCTGGTCAAGACATGAATAATGTCACAAACCCATCGCGTACGTCGTCAAACACTTCCCGCCAGACAGAGGCACATACTCACGGGCGGGTATGTGCCGCTGGTAAGCGGGTATGAGCCACAGGTGATTGACACTTAGTATGTACCCAGGAATGACGAGACCACACACGGGCAATTTTAATGCGTGAGCGTTAAGCAATACCCGACATCGGTAGCGTCGACCCAATGAAGGCATAGAATAAATGTCGGTGTTAAGAAAAACCTGACATAGGCAGCGTTAGCCACCCGACGAATGCAAATAATAAATATACTACAGGGTCCCAGCAGGAATCAAATCCAAGCATTCAGCGTGGCATTCAAGCATTCTACCACAGAGCGACGCCAGGTTTCGGAACTACTCTTCAAATAAACGCTCATCTTCGCGAAACGTCAATAGTGGTTGCAGTGCTGCCTACCCAATTTTATAAACATTACTTATTTAATCCTTTCATACAGCTGTCACGTCGGGTTAACGACAATTGTGGTGAGCCGCCATGCGCTGAAATTGATTTATGTAGCAGTGTCAAGGGACAGCATCTTCGCGAGCATCAGCGCTTCATTTCAGCATCTGGTGTTGCTAAAGCACATTTCAAGCTCACATTGTTGTGCAAGTAAAGTAGAAAACTGGCAATAAAAACATCGGCAACTATTCAACACACATGTTCTCTTCGACTAATGCCTCTGCGTGCAACGTTTGTACATATATTTAACGTCAATTCATGACGTGTCGCTCAATAATAAAACAAAATACAACACGGTCACTTTCCCCCCGCGTGCTTCGCTTAAAGTTGATTTCCAGGTACGTGGGATCTGGCGAATTGTTTGAACAAGCCAATATGATGTCTTTTTGTACTGCAGATACATACATGTCTAGGTGTCTGTCCTGCTAGTCAGGTGCTGACCAAGTTTTTGCTGAAGAATCAGGGAATGCTGTTCGGGTTGGTTCATGGTCATGGAAGTACTGCAGTAGGCGCATTTTTCTGGCAAAATTATCTGAATCCTGATACAACTGAAGTTTATTGAATTTTCTTCTAGCCGGACAGAATTTGAGGCCCTATGAAAGCAGTCTAATTTTCTTCGCCGAAAGATTAATTACGCTCGGAGGTGCCGTATCTACATCTCGGTGTACATCTAATATCTATCGGTGTCGCCGGTGTAAGTGCAAGTATAGTAATTGTCCCAGTTATAAATATATATATATAATATTTCTCAACTGTGCTTCGCGGCAGTCACTGATGAAACAATGAAGGAGCGGGTTGTCAGACTTACAGATTTCTGTTTTGCTAGTTCTTAAGATATGTCGTATATTCCTTTTAGCTAAATACACTTTGTAAAGCTGCGAAGCGATAGTATTCGCTTTCAATGATTCTGCCCAACACCACTCTAATGCATAGATTCACCAAGAAGCCTTCATTTAAGATGCTTGTATATGTTTTATCACTTCTCTTTGTTGAACAACCCCTTTTTTTAATTTCATATGGTACTATAGCCAACACTTCTTAGAACGACACAGTGTCGCGTGAAAGCAGTGCGTCAATAGTAAAGTGTACGTCATTTGTAGTACTGACAATCGCCTTCTTCCTTTTTACTGGAAGTAATTTGTAGTGGTATTTATCCAATTTCTGTGGCATCTATACATTTACAATGACGATACTTTTCTCACAGGCCGCATTTGTTTCAGTGGCAAAGTGCGTTTGTCTGGCGAATCGTTCCTCTTGATGTTAGTAGACTAGTCGTCAGGAGGGGGATTTAAGATTTGCACTAGCAGATGGCGACAAAAAAAAACTATAAGTGAAAGTTCTTTCACTGGAAGTAGAACTTTCTATCCTTGCTCTGGTGGTGCCAAACGACTCTGACACAAAGTGCATGTTGTTCAACACGCGAACGGAGAGCTATATGTATACACAACTTACTGTTCGTGGAATTAAGAGCTCGGTTGCTTCAGTGACGTTTTCCTATCACAAGTGAGATAGCGTGCAGGACTCAAAGTACGCCCTTTCAAAATTGCCACCCCAAGTATTGAGATGTGCGTGTTCTTACCTGTTGGTAGGGGCGGTTTTTACGTCTGGTGCTCTAAGCGCAAGCGGGCGTATAATTTGCAGAGAGCATGATAATCACTTCGCTCACAGCAGCGGCCGCTCTTGCGAATGAAGCGCGCAGCTCAAGCACAAAGAAGTTGCAATAGTATAGTTGCTAGCTTGCACTCCTCCTACATAATCTTTTGCATTTGCTTTGTCTGTCCTCCTTTGTGTTTGAGCAGCGTGCTCTAAGTGTCGAGCTGACACAGTTGTTTGTCCACGCTCGTGCTGCGTACATTGATTTCGTGAGACTTTCTGCATGAGATGTGCGCTGTTAGTTTTTATCTGCTTGCCGTTCTTCGGGTGACCTTACATCATGTTGTTATAGCATTCATTCAACCACCCTTGTGGCGAAAAAATGCAGATTATACGCTCAACTACCTCACCTAAGGCACGTTTACTTTCATGTTATACCGATTTCTTGGAAGACGTATCAGCCATGAATGAATGATGAATGAAAAAAGTTTTAATACATACAATAGGTTGCACTGGTGTCCTAACCTGAAGCGAGCCGCTCTCACGTTGAGACCGAATGACCTAGCCTTCTAGCTTCTTCGTGGGCCCGTTGGACTAACCATAATTGTCTTTCTAATAGGGCTGCATAAAGCGGTGACCCATCGTTGTTAAATATTTTCTTTTTCGCTGCGTAACGCGGAGCAATACCGGAGCATATCAGCAAGATCTATGGTGTCACGAGAATAATTGCATGTTGTGGGAACAGAAAATTCTTGATAAATCCTCTTGAATATCGCCTTTTTTAATCTGTAACTACTACCACTAGCTGTACTGTACAACTTCTCGTTTGCGAGCATTCTAGGGTGCAAAATGTATTTCAGGCATTTGATATCGCACTCTCATTTGTTATCTCAATACGGACGCCTATTTCGTTCCCTTTCAATAAACATCGAAAGCAATGAGATCGCTTTAAATGCATCACGATTTCAACATTGCTGTTATTTTTTTCGTGAGTAGACCACAGAACCTGTGATGCACTTCGCAACCTGTGCAAAGTTCAACTATGTGCAAACTGTTTTTTCACCCATCATGGTAGTTGTGGAATGTACAATGGAGGAAACCCATGAATTTTTCGAAGTCAGACCTTTATTCCTTTGATATTATTGCCATAAACCTTTAATTGTCACCTCATTAAATTTAAATTAGCAATGACACTGAATGCAACTCAATTCATGGCACTCTTTATTAGTGGGCAACAGACGATTTCCTGCTGGCACACCTGAATAAACGCTTTGTCAAAATTGTGAAAACTAGAGATTTTTAAACTTGGCGCTTGGTATGTTGAGTACTTAAGGCGAGTCAGTGGCCTCTTCATTAATGGTAGGCGCCTTAGTGGGTTCTTTGGAAGAAGATGCTGTTTTTTGTACGAAATCAGTGATTACTATTGATGGTCCACTGCTTACCGCGTCATTTGCTGCCGTATATTCGTTCTCCGAGGCGTTGCTTTCACCTGAAGGCGCAACTTCTGATTGCACTGTGTTGGAATCATCAGCGTTTTGATAATCCGATGCGGACAATGTCTCTACTGACGTGATTTTTGACGCATCCACCACGGTAGCGTCCGATGGAGAGTCGTCGGAGCCAACAGGGCGTACGATCTCTTTTCTAGTTACAGTTGTTATAACCTTCACAGTAGCTGGCTCAGCAGATGCGGCCGTGGTTGTACTTTCAGAGGATTCATCGGCAACGGTGACAGAGCTCACTTCCGCGGCATCCTGCACGGTCTTGAACACCTCTTCAGACACAGTCGTGCTTTCAGCAGCAGCGGAGTCTTGCGCTTTAGAAGTACTCAATTTGTCCACTTCAGAAACCGCCAATGTCTCGACTGACGTCGTCTTTGAGGTGTCTACCACGGTAGTATCAGATTGAGAGTCGTGCGAATCGACTGGACGTACAATCTCTTTGTGAGTGACTGTCGTTATTACCTTCACAGTAGCTGACTCAGTAGCTGCAGCAGCGGTGGTACTCTCAAAAGCTTCATCTGCAACGGCAAAAGTGCTAACTTCAGCGGCAGCCTCTTCTGGCTGTAACTTTTCTTCATCATCGGTGGGGGTTTCAGATACCTCTGACTCTTCACTGGAAGTGACTTCGTCTTCTACTTCGGATAGAGGCACTGCTTCCACAGAAGTGGTCTGCGTCGTATCTACGGATGCTACTGCAGATTGGTTTGCTTCCTCATCAGTAGGTCTAGTTACTTCTTTTTCAGTTATACTGGTCACAACTTTAACAGTTGCTGATTCATCAACAACTGTCATCCTTTCTGGTGTTTCATCAGAAACAGTCGCTGATTTTTCTTCAGGTGCTTCAGTTCCAGCTAATTCTACGTCTACTGCTTCTGCATTTGAAACTGTCGTGGCCCCAGCTTCAATTTCATTCACCAAAGCGCCATCAGGAGAGCCGTCTTGAGACCCTACAACTGTTTCACCTTCAACTACGCTAGGATTGTCACTGGAAACAGAAACGTCGGATTGTTTTCTGGTGGTTTTGATGGTGTCATTCAGCTTAGATACAGGCAATGTTTCCACGGAGGTGGTGCGTGTCGTATCAACAAGAGTGGCTTCTGATAGGTCATCAGCCCCGACTGGACGAATGATCTCATTTCGAGTTACAGTTGTGATGACTTTAATAGTCTCTGATTCGACCGACGCCGTAGTTGCTTGAATAGCTCGTTCGGTAGTAGCGAAACTGACATCTTCAGTAAGTTCCTGTTCTACATTCGACCCGTCCTCATTTGATGCTGTTGTGGGTACCAGGTCAGCTGCAGGAGTCGATGCCGCCTGATCAACGGCTTCTTCTTGAGCTGAAGCAGCAGGATTTTCCAGAGACGATACGGTCACAACAGCAACCACTTCTTTATCGGTGCTCTGTGTTTCAGTATCTTCCTCAAAATCTCCTGTGACTGCTGACGCTGGGCTTTGTGCATCATGATCCACCTCAGTGAAGGACACTCCGCCTCGCTCATAAGCTCCGGCATTTGTACTACCATGGAATCCTGCTGTCGTGACAGATGCCTGACTTGTTTGTGGCTCATCAGTTTCCGGCTTGGTGTCACCATCGGCTGTTGCTTCAGCTGCTGGCTGAGTAGATGCATTTACAATGACAGCATTCGTCTCAGAAACTACAGCCACAACTTCCTCAACACCACTGCTGCTTGTTGTATCATCCTGGGAAGAAACACTGGAATCCGTTTGTTCGTCAGTGTTTCCGGACCCTTCCTCTTCGCCTTCACCAATGACAGCATCAGTGGCAGTACTCCCCTGCGCCTCATCACCTTCTACTTCATTTGATGCTGTCACCTCATCGGCTGACGGAGTTTTCTTTTGCCCACTTCCATCTAGATCGGCTCCTATCGTTTGCACAACTGTGCTTTCGGGCACAGATTCAACTGTTGTTTGCTCGAGGGCTGCAGTCACTTCAACAACATTACCTGTGTTGTCAGTTGGTCGAGATTCCACAGTCGTGGCAGATTTTGCCGCTTCACTCACGTTTTCCTCAGTATGCGTCTGTTTATCTTCGCTTGGCGAAGAACTTGTGGTTGTGGCCTGCTCTTCAGGACCCGTCTGCTGTTCAGAAGTAACCAATTCCGATTGGGCGGTGGTACTTTCAGCTCCTTCAGCTGTGACACCCTGGATAATGTTCGTGTCATCACCTTCTTGCACTCTACTGGACGGGGAAGTTGATAGGGTTTCCACGTTTTCCGTGTCTGGGGTCGACTGAGTGGAGGATTCGTCAGATCCCATGGTTTCAAATGCGCCAGCCTGTGTAGCCGAAGAAGACGTAGTGCTGCTCTCTTCCTGTACTGTTGTAGCTTCAGTCGTAGGGGGCAGTGCTTTGCATAGGCCGTCAATGCAAACTCCTTCTATTGTTTTCTTCCTCTGCAAGAAATAGAGAAAAATCACTGCTCATTCAAAGCAAAAAAAAGAACACATGCCTCTCTAATATTGCACTACTGCACTTCTGAGGTGCATAGCACTCTTGGCTCTAGAGAGCTTTTTACACTCTTTTCATTTGGGACCAACAAGTTTTCTAAAGTGTTCTCATTTTAAAAGTTTGTGCCTTATCCGCAGATGTGTCTCGAACAAGCAAAGAAAGATAGTTCACTGTGCACACAGACATATATTCCTAAAAACGACTATAATAATCAATAGTGACATCTATATTTTATGGTGTAAGCACCAGAGAATAAAAATTGCAGCTAGTAGTTTTGATTACGAAACGAAACGCAGAAGAAAAAACATTAGATATCAGGCTTAGAAATATCAACTTCGTACCCCAGGGTTTGGGAAATGGCAGCCACAAGCAGATAATTTGGCTTCTTGATTGTTTATACCTTCTTATTCCTACATATCAATTTTGGTTTGATTTTTCCCGGACCTCCAAAACTGATAAGTATCAGCACTAATCAGTTTCGTTTAAGTATACCTTTCAACTTGGAAACCGACGAGAATTCACAAAATATTAGATGCCAGGTTTGAACATTATTACCTATATACCATGCTTTAGGAAATCTCAGCAAAAATTAGGTAACGTACATTCTGAGTTGCTTATTATTTGTTCATTTCATTTGTTGTGGTTTAACGTCCTAAAACTAACTTATGATAACTCTCCGTAAATTTCGACCACCAGGGTTCTTTCACGTGCACGTAAATCTATCTGGACATTTCGTCAACGACCCATGTATGGGGTGCCACCTGACTACCTGACTTCGTGTCAAGAACATTCGCGGTTAAAATAGTTCATAGACCTACACGTTGACTGTGATGAATATATTGAATTTTCTTCTGGAACTTTTCTCATGTCAATATTTCTTGCATGACTTGAGCAGCAAACAGTCCTATCCGAGGAGTACGGTTTACGCCCTTGATTTTTATTGGGATAGCAATTATATGGACACTCTCAGCTGGATTTTGCTGCCGGCGTCGCCATGACTCACCGTATATGTATACGTATCTGTATGTATGAAAATGCAAGAAAGAAAAATCCCAAAAAAAGACTCCGGCACGCCGATTAGGAGTTGGGTCCTCTAAATTGTGAGGCGTTAACCACTGCGCCGCCGAGGAGAACGTCCTTCAACGTTTAAACGGCAAGCTATTTAATTCTACCACATACCACTGCTGACGCGCATCTCGGGAGGAATTGTTTTTTCAGCATTACCAGCAACATGTCGCAATGAGCGCACGTTACCACATCGCGCGACGGCACGCACTATGGTCTCCCACGCGCGCTTTGCCCCGCTCAGAAGAATGGAGCGGTGTGCCCACGCGCACCCTTATCTCGCGGTATCTCGCGGTAGGGAAGAGGGGAGATTGTACGTCTTGGCTGGTCTCGGGCTTTACCTATAAGTATTCTGTTGTAGTTACCGGGCGCACAAAGGTCACTGCAATCATTGCAATTTCTGTTTGCCAAAAGGGTGTGCCTTTCAGACACAGCGAAGTAATAACCAAGACGTTTATTCACGGTCATCTGTACCTGAGAATACTCTTTGTGCGTAATTTGTGCGTAATAAACGTGGGCCACCTTTCAATCTGTTTTTCATTGTGCGTGCGACTTTACAGTTTGTTACTATCGCGATCATTGTTTTGCCTTTGCGGGAAAGCAGTGACTTTTTAGAGTCTACAAAATCGTTTTTGTACTCCACGTCATGCAGACATAATAAACATTCAGTTACACATAATTCGTTCACGCAATAACATGAGTGCCTTCAAAACGTGAGTGGCTGTGATGGTGGTCCACGAATGTTAATTGCCTGTTTGTTTTTATATAGCTGCAATGTAGAGCATGAGATCACATTCCAATAAAGACAGTGTGTACAAATGCGTCATCAAGTTGCAACCTATCTTCAAGAATATTATCGCTAATTACCACCCAGGCAGGCGGCAAACCAGAGCCAAAACACGACAAACACATTGTGGTAACCACTCAGCCTTCTTCTATACAGACGCCTGCAGACTACAAGGCAATATTAACAGCGTTGTTGCGACCAGCGGAACTACCACTATAGCAACGTCAATACAAACCCCGTCAGTCAGCACGGCCAAAAACGGTGGTAGTGGCTTTAGCGATATGATGCGCTGAACAACAAAGAAACTTCGCCACTGTAATTACTGACTCTCAATTGACTTGCCATAGGCTTCAGACTAGGGAGATTACAAGGGCTACTACGAGAATTCCAGGGAAGCAGCTACAAAATCCGCATGCAATGCTTTGGCGCTTCGCGCATGCGGGACTTGAGGGCAATAAAAAGGCCGGCTGGCTTGCTCACGAAATAGACACCCGAGCCCCGGTCGCAACTCTCAAGGAACCGCTTATAACTCCACGCGACATGCTCGAAGACCTATGAAAAGAATGACAAAGATACAATTATTCCCTTGCGGATCTTACCGAAGAATGGGCGCGAGATTGGCGTCAAGTAGAGACCAACACGTGCTTTGCTTACAAAAAAACACCACAGAAACCCACAATGTACGCACACAGCTTTCCGTGGTGTCGCGAATCGCAAACTCTCACGCGCATTCCATGGCAATGTGAATCACGACCCCAAAGCATCTATTTTTTTGTGACATCTTCACCGAGGCGGTGGAAAACCTGGCTTCTTTGAAAAAATAGGGAAAGCCAGCTGGCTTTTGTCGACGAAGCCCATCAAGTCACAAAACCCAGTAGAGCCCTGGACTAAGCACCGCACCGACATCCCCAGAAACATTTTAGAGAATATAAAGTTTCTTCTCTCTCCTCTCTTGCAACCTACGCCTCGCGAAAAGTCAAAACCTAACGTCCCGCACGACACCGAAATACCTAAATTTGTATTTCTGACAGTGGCACTTCATTACAACGCTTTCTGATTTCTCACTTATATTTCTAGATAAAGGTTCCTAGATGTAGTGACTTATCAAAGACTGTATCTGGTGGCAAGAACTCTTCGAAGCAGGAAACGCACAAAGCAAATGAACAACAAGGTTATATTCAAAAAGCAATCCAGGCATAGAATAAGAGGTGGTCTAATGAAGCGCATTATAACCAGAAACCAAATTTTACAGGAGTAACAATACATTCATTATAGTGATTGGCGTATTGGCTGCTTTAAAAAGCTGACGGCTGTATTTGGCGACTAACAATTTTCGACTTCTTCTTGCAGTGCGTGCTGACAAAGTTGCAATGAACATAGTTTAGCTTACCCAGCAAGGCGTTCCATCCTCTTCAAAGCCTATGCCAAGGGTAGGATAGCCGCCACATAGGAAGCGGCACTTAGCCACTCGTCCACTGCTCTGATAAAAAAAGAGATAATACAAGACATAATGCTTATTTATCTTTTTATTGACACGCACCTACTAACGCGAGTCCTTGGAACGTTGGTTATCATAATGTTTCTTGACTTTTGTCTAGCGTACGCGCAGTATTTTATGCTTTCTTTTTCAGAGCAGAGATACTGAAAACGTTTTAAGGATCAATGCTTTATGAATCCTACCTATTATGGAAGAACAGAGAACTACTCATAACACCACAAGATTCCCCGTGAAGGAAGCGTTTACTGAGCTAGTTTACCGAATGCCAATGTCAAAAGAGTAAAAAGAAACACATAAGCTTTTAAACTACGCTTTTTAAGTATATGAATCACACTTCAATATTCACCTCAATCATGGGGCTATAAGCCCGGTACGTAATGATGCGCACAATATTTTATTGCAATGGCAACTGTATGACTATTATCGGCTGGATTTTGCCGCCAGCGACGACATCAACGTCGGCGTCACCGTGACTCACCGCATATGTATACGTATCTATATATATTTAAAAATGCAAGAAAGAAAAAAACTAGAAAAACACTCTGGCGCGCGGAATTGACCGCGGGACTACTGCGTCATGAATGCGAGGTGTTAACCACTGAGCCTACCCAGAGGACGTGCGTGAACGTTCAGACGGCAAGCTATTTATATATACCACTTGCCGCCACTCACGAGCACCTCGGGGAGAAGTGTGTTTTCAGCATTACCAGCAAGATGACGCAATGAACTTGCGTCGCAACATCGTGCAGCGACGCCCGCTCTAAACTCCTACGCGTACTCTGCCCTGCTTAGAGAAGGGGAGTGACACTTCCTCGCGCGCTCTTATCTCGCGGTGGTGAGGTGGGGAGGATCGTACGTCTTGGCTGGCCTCAAGCTTCACCTGGAACAATTCTGCTGTAGTTACCGGGTGCGCGAAGGTCACTGCAATCATTGCAGTCTGTGTTTGCGAAAAACGCGCGCTTTTCAGACACAGCGAAGTAACAAATGAGAGGCTCATTCGCGTGCATCCGTACCTGTGAGTACATTTCGTTGGTTATTTGTGCGTGAGAAACGCGGGGCACGTTTTGATCTGCTTTCCATTCGGTGCGTGACCTTTCGATTTGTTTCTATTGCATTCATTGCCATGCCTTTGCGGCAAAGCTGTGACTTTTTTTTTTTTGCCCACCAAGATATCATTACACTTGGTCAATCAGTCTTCTTACATCTTGAGTCAAGTATCTCTTACCGTTCGTACTTTTGAGTATTCATCATACTTACAACTCTAGCCGGATAAGCCCTGTCACACTTGACACCGACGAAACCTGTGGTGAAAAAAAAAGATAGCATGCCAGGCGTTGCAAGTGAGTTTATGAATGTTGAATTCCATTCGTTTACTGAGAGACAAATCAACGGTGCTCGTAGGAATATTAAATTAGCTGCACCGATGATGATGCCTAGAATCAGCAGCAGAAATTAATCAGCTTTTAGGATTCTCTGACAAGGAATGAAACAAAAAGAAGCAAGAATAAAGCAATGTCGTTTTACGTGCTACTTGCTTTACTTATTCACGACATAAATGTCCCTAAACGTCTACCCACGTTCTGCCATGGTGCGATCGAAAATGTTCACATCTCAGCACTTTAGCAAGCTCAGTTATAAGTTAACAAAGTATTCATTACAAGTGTATTTTTAATTACAAAATCAAGAAATACGAACTGCGAGACAATTGGACAGCTCCGTTATCACAACTCTGCCGACTTTTTTCTACGCAACCTAAATATATTTATTTGTAGTACAAGACAGCCCTGGAGAAAAAGTACGTAAATTAGCATGATTGTTTCACAATCGCGTCGTGCTATTGCTTTCACGCTGCAGCACTAATTACTAGAGCGATATGATTTTATTAACAGTCAGACATTAACTATTGCCATGAAATTATTTTCACGTACCTATTACACAATGATTTTTCCATTACCTCTAAAACGTGGTTTTTCAAATCTCTAAATTTTATTATTTTATGGTTCATGTCGAAATGTTTTATTCATTGTATCAGTCATTCGCCTAATGGCACGCATATCTGTGTATGAATCATTACACACTAACCGCACAAGCATCAAAATCACACTGCGCCAGTAATCGAAGCTGGTGGCCGCACACTGACCATGTCCCCATTACTGTACTTGAAACTTCCAGTCATCATAGCGTCCCAATCTTTCAACTATACTCGCACTGTCACACTGCCACTGTGCTCTCGAAGGAGTGACTACCACCTCCATTGCCCTGATACATTTATGCGTACACCACTACACTCCATCGAAGACCTACCAGGTCGCCATGGTGGCCTGACCACTGGAACAGCTGGCACTGGTGCTGGTGTTGTAGCTACCGTTGTAGATTCGGCACTCTGTGCAACAGTAACGTCCTCTTCAGTAGCTGTGGCAGTGACACCTGGTGCGTTACTGCTTACAGATGATGCACCTGGAAGCTCCGTTGGTGTCGAAACCACAGTGGAGGTTGCTTGAGCTGTGGTTGGCGCAGCAGTAGCTTCAAGAGCCTTGCACACGCCTTGGTCACAGTAGCCAACCTGTCCTCCCCACGCCTGGGTAGGTCCAAAAAGGATGATGTTGGTAATGTAAAAATGAACTAAATGTGTGACATACAACAGGACAATATTGTCTTTATGAAACTAGTGAGCGCAACTCGAATCGAGCTTTCCTGTGCTGTAAAGTATATTCCAACTAACCTGATGCCAAAATATTAAAGTGGCTGAAGAAAACAACAAACGAGTGTATTTTGCGTCACTACACTTTCTTTTTTTAACAATATGTGCATGAGTGTTTAATGTGCAGAACTTTTTTTAAAAGCCACGATTTTCTCCTTTCTTTAACTTTGTTCAGAATGCAACCTTGGCGCGAGACACCGTTGTCTCAATTAGACTGCAGCATGCTCAGCCCCCACTCTTTACTGCCTACCGCTACCACCCACATCATTACGCACACGTGGAGATGCCTATTTTGCCGGTACACTGGCTGGCTACTGATCACTTGTCGATCGCAATTTTCACCATAATTTCTTAGCCAGCATGCGGATCACGGCCGAGAAGTCATCTTATTCAACAGCTAGCATCATGCTGGAGCCTTTCACACTGTGCGCATCGCCCCAACTCAAAACGAATATACGAAATGTCGCATCTGCTGTGAAGGAAAGTGTGGTCTGAAAATAACTCTGAAGGCACATGCTCGGTCAGGGCACAATGCCTAAACAAAAGTATTGAGGGTCACAGCCGCTGCAAACTGAACCTGGCCTAATAATTGGCTATGGCGCTTTCGGGACGTTAAACTCCACATATAAAATGAATCGATAATGCATTGCAATGTATGGCGACTACGCAGATCGGAAAGCAAGCAGTGAAAACAAAGATGCTGCTCGCGCCCGTGCTGTAAACGGTACAGCTCCGTCATGACCTAGGATGGATGGTGGACAGATGAATGAAGAACTTTACTTGCGTCCTGAAGGATTCCACCTACTTTAATAGGAGGTGGAATCGCGGGCCACTCCCACGTAGAGACGGGAAAGCCTAGCCTCACCACCGAATCGTGGGCCTTCTGGACAGCCTTGAGTTGTTGTATGAGAAGCTCACTCGTGAGCATTAAATGAAAGGAATTCTCGGTAAATCCTTCATTTTTTTCTTGTAAAAAGGGGCAACTCCCGAGCATGTGGTTAAAATGACTGCGATTTTGGCAGTTCGGACAAAGTTCTGAAATATTTGGGATGATTAAAAAATATTGCTGCAGGGGAAGCTCCCGAAATACCTTGCAGCAGAAGTGAAGCCAGCTTTTTCCACGGCCAAAATGGCGGGAACGAGTTCTAATCTCGTAGGGCCCGCTGAAAGATCAAGCGGCTTTGATATGCTAATGTAGATGCTACGTTATTTTTACATTATAGGATAGTTGTTTTCAACAAAAGAATACACAGAAACGAGTATGGGTGACTGAGTCTCCAAAGAAGTTTGCCTCCAATTGGCGGCTTACAAAGGAAAATTAGTAGCACTACGGCGCACATGTCAGCGTTATGTTACCTGAAGAGTGTCCACATTAAACTCGTTGCGCTTGCGAGGGAAATGCCCCGCCCAATCGCGCTGGTGCTCTTTGTTCTTTCCATAGATCCTCTCATTCAAAAAGTGGCAAATCGTTATAATATTCAGGGCTTTCCTATGGCAGTTCTGTGGTCAGTTAGCATCACCCCTTATGCAAATGACATTTTTTTGTTCGTGCGAAAACAAGCCTGTTAACGCGCTTTCTTGGAGCTGTTCAAGGAGTATGCCAATTCATAGGGTGCTTTCCTGAATACAAAGAAAAACAAAGCCCATCGTTTCGGTGGCTGCCACGTTTGTTTCTCGGGCGGTATTCAATACGTGGATGCCGTAAAAGTTCTCGGGGTATACTTTCAAGACGAGTAGGTGGCCAAAAAAAATTGGGAGGACACCATACATAGAGCCACGCAGGTCGTCGCATATGCCGCGGACTTCAATTTATCACTTGACACCAAATTTACGGTGGTGAAAACCAAAGCATGCGCATATGCTTTTATATATTGGGCGCATCGCACTCACAGCCAAATTTTTGCGAGTCGCTTTGCATCATTGGTTGGAGCCTTCCTATGGGACAGGAAGACACTGAAAGTTCAACAAAAGTTCCCGAAGCTCTCAAAAAGTGGTGGAGGGCTTAGTCTGCCAGATGTTGCGACATTCACAAAGGCACTTACAGCTAAAACAGTTTAAAAATTGTTTCGGTACAATGACTATCTTGGTCGTAGCTTATCGCTATATTGGACCAGGTTTCTTGGAGCCGCATTCACGTCGGAAAGGTACCGGGGGGCTCAAGCAGAACACCCGCATGCCTTTTATAAGGCAGCAGAGCATTTGATCGACAGAAACGCCGCCGAACAATACTTTGCAAAGCTTTCACCCGCACGCATTAGCGAAACGTTAATCGGTCACTTGATCACTGACGAGAAAAAACAGAGATGGAGGTCCAGCAAGAGGAAGAAATGGCGGAACAACCACGTACCGAAAGTAGTTCGAGAATTCGATTGGCTGCGGTGGGACGCGTTGCCCACTCGTCAGAGACTGTCAAAATAAGGCGTCGTTTCAATCGACCACTGCCCCAACGGCGGCTAAAGAGAAACAATCCACCACACAATGTTTGAGTGCGTAGCGGCCAAAGGCATGTGGCACGTCGTGCATCGTCCATTCGGAGTTCCTTCGGTTGGACAGCGTGGAAGGGGCTTATTTGAACAACTCGTACTTTATGTCACCATGTTCGTCTTGTGGCACCGGCGCTGTATGGTTAAAGCACGCTGACGACGCCAACGAGCTCCATACCCAACATTACAGAAGATTAGAATGATCATGATTCCGTACCTTACCGAACCGATTGAAACGCAGCGTGAGGAAGCCTTCATCAGAAGATTGCATACACTTTTTTTGTTTTGTTTTTTGAGGGTGGAAGTTCGGAATGAGAATAATAAATTTCCTTTACTGCCATTATTACTCACTGGCAAGAGAAAAAATTTTGCTTCTCGTCGCACATGATATGCGAATCTGTACCAACCTAGTGCTTCTTGCGCTTCCTCTTCTCTTTGTTCTTTTTTAGTGATTCGTGATCTGTGAGGATATTGAAGTGCGTTGTGTTACATTGTGTTTATGTTCTCTTGTTTGTACGTGCCACTGAAGCAATTTTGTTACACTAGACAAATGTACTCACCTGAAGTGATGTTACCAGTTTGCAATAAACTTCCCTGTCTGAATCGCTGAACGATGAGTCTTTATCATGCCGCTAGTAAGGTGGCCGCCACAGCTGCCATCTCGCCATAGGCACTGGTTCACTTTTGGGCAATCAATTCCACTACAGCAATTTTTTTAAATCTTCTTGGTCTTGACGGATGGAATCGTTTGTGTGCAAGACTAGTGTGAACTGGTAAAGCACGTTTGCTGACTGGTTTACTTGAGCCCTTAGCCGGAACGTCCGAGACGACTGCTATACAATAAACCTTCATTTTTAAGTAGCATCACGAAGATGCCGAAAAAAAGTTTTCCTCTTCTTAGCCACTCTACCGAAAAAAAAGATTCACTGTTGCACATAATGTACGGTTATTCAATGACTTGGATTTGTCCGTCTAGCCACATTATTAAGTTATCTCATGCTTCCTTCTCGAGAAAAAATATCTATGGTTAAACTTTGCGCTGTGCATCAGTTTGTCTTAACCAAGGCGCCCATCATCACATTCGCAAACTGTCCAGCAGATTTTTCTCGCTTCTTTCAGCCTGGGACGCTATTCGGTTTCATATTAATCATGCGCCAGCCAGGTCACTTCAGCGCAGTTTCAAAAAGTCTGAATTCATTTGAGGCATCGTAGTCACCAACAACAGAGAAGATGATAAGCATAGTCTCTGCCACTTTATTATGATTTCACGTGTACTAGCGGTACTAGATACCTGGCTCATTTGTTATAATACTTCGCATGACCATGTTGTAGTTATTGTCCTCAGTAAAGGATACTGAGCCATAAGGTTCGCGTTTTAAAGTACCTGTGTTTTACGTATACTGCAGAGAGATTTGCTTACCAAGCATGGTGTTCCATTGTCTTCATTGGCCAAGAAAGCATTCCTCCTTTGCTTGCATACGAACTGACAGGAGCGAACAACAGCTGGGAACTGCACGAAACAAATTTGGAATTCTTTTAAAGCGTGAAATGTGAGTGCTGACTGAGGCGCTGTTAGTTACAAGGGCATACAAGACTGTTCTGATTCGATTATTAAGAAATATAGCTGCCGATAAAAGCTAGCATTTTTTTAGCATTGCAATTTTTCAGAACATGAGAGAGATACAGCCTGGATATTGCACGGTCTCCTATATATTTTTAAATTTTCTGTTTTCATACTAACTCTTTGTGACATGCACAGTGCTCATCTGGCGAATTATAATAAAAGTATCGGTATCGAAGCCCTTGAAAGACTGTCCAGTCAAAGTAAAGACAAACGGGAACAATGCTGCAGGAACACCATCCCCATGGAAAATATTAAGAAAGGCACACAATATTTAAGGTCCACTGGCCTCACCAGCTACACAATAATATGACCAGCTTTCCGCACACTCTCCTTCAGAGTGGACACATTCTTATTTTTTGCTTGTACTTCATTTTTACATACACAGGGTAGCAACCTAGTTGTAACCTACAATGGAATATAATTTTATTTTCATTCCTTTCTCTTTTATACGCATTTTTGAGAACCAAGAGCAAAAGTATTTCTAATGTACATGAGCGAAAGTTTCTTTTATTCCTTTCCCCTAAATACCGCAAAGTAATTAGCGCAGTTAAGCGTCACAACACTTCTGCCACTTCTCAAAACAATAGAGCTACGTTTTCTACTCACTTTTAGCCGACGTTGGCGATTTCTACACAGCAGTCTAGGCGCAGGGTTTGGACGCGCTGAAAGAGGGAGAATGAAAGCAAAGCACTCTATTATAAAAATGGCTGTTACTTTTTCACATGAGAAGGAATTTCCGGTATATTATGTATTGACTTTTCATTCCAATCTTTACATTTAACTCATACATCTTTGCTAAGGTAGGTGATCTGTGGAGCTGATGGGTGAAAAATCTCGTAGCAGTTTTTTTTTAATGAGGGCCTTCGCCAACAGCTTTGTAGCTCGCGATGTTGCACAGTGCGACGTTTTTCAGTGCCTTCCGCGTGCTGCCTTCGTTCTAGCGTTGATCAGAATTTTGTGGGGCCCTTTAAAAGACGCATCCCGTGACCACCAAATGCAAGTAAGGCATTATAATTTCCTGACAAAGGTGAACTCTCCTGGCAGGTTCAATTCCTGATGTCAGAATTTGGTTTCCTGCAGAGGCCTTTTATTACACCACCACCATTGTCAGCCAAGCCTTTAACTAAAGTGCTGTCCTACTTTCATTCAGCACCCTGGTATTACGACACATTCGTATATGCTTCCAACATATTTTTTTCTCTCTCTCTGGCTAAGACACTAAATATCTCATTGTCAAAGCCTGATTTCACGCGCTGCACCACCAAAAAAAGGTTGCTTCCTCTAATGCAGTCGTTTTTTTCTTTAATCGATATAATATTTATATGTTAACACTCCAGCGTTTAATTATACGCCACTACGGCCAAGGTAACATAAAGGCGTTTTTTGTAGACATAGACGGATAGACAGCGGAAAATAAGAAGAATGCGTCATTTCAAACCAAGCTATTAAAAGAGGCTATTTGACTCTCAACCTAAATACCTAAAAACTAAGGAATAGTACCGCAATAATTAATACGGAAAGAGAAGAACACTCACAGAGAAGGAGATCACGGCAGAGATGACTACGTGTGGTCTAGGTCTTGCGACTTCCAAAGATTGTGCATGATTTTAACAACCTGTTGCACTAACAAGGCCACATCTGTGTACAATAATTTGCCACTGTGTTCTTGTTACTACCGAGCCTCTAAAACAAATCATTTACTGCAATAATTTTCCCCTATAAGCTATGCATACACACACCAAAGCAACAGCGAGAGTCAATTCGAGTGCGCGTGATCCCCCATCTAAAAGTAATCGTCTCGGAAAGTTTTAGACGTTTTAAAACGTGCTTGTAATAGTGCAAATAATTAGCACAAAGTGTTTCAGGCGCTTTCACAACTATTTCATTTGTGTAAATGCAGTGACAGAAATTTTTTTTCGACGAGAATGGCGCTAGAGCATGGTGGGCGTAATACCTTAATCGCTTTGCTCTAAGGAATATGACTGCCCGCTACGTCATAAATACCCATAGTGAATTTTGCAAGGAAGTTTGAATTTGCGATGAGGTACTTTGTAAGTACTCCGAAAGATGATGACGATGATGTTGATGATGGTGATGATGGTGGTGGTGGTGGCGGCGGTGGTGGTGGTGACGATGATGATGATGCTGATGATGGTGATATTTGGTGTTTTTTGGTGCAAGGGTTATTTGATGGCCAAAGAGCGCCCGTTTGTGGGACAAGAGATGTGGGCAATGATTGCGATAAGCGACTCTTTAAGGGCCCTAAAACTCCTCGTGCTAACACGGGTAAAAACATATAAGTATAAAGTTATGATCATGTCGTGAAATGTGTGTATACTGTCAATGGATGACGACACTATGTGATAATAAAAATCATAGTGGACATGTATGGAATTCGCACAAGCACCTTAATCGTCCAAGGGCCGCGAGGCAAGCGCTTTGTTCAGTGTAGCCACCGCGGCGGAGACCTCTCTGGAGAGGTCTTGGTGCGGAATGCCCGGGCATATGACATGAAAGGTACGAACTTCTCTGAAAAAAGCCAACAGCGATTTATGTGTCAAAAACGGTTCCCTACCGACGAACATTGCAGGATGATGTGGTATCTGTTGTCGGTATAATTGAAAGTGTTTTCTTCTCAGCGTTAGTTAATTGTTTACACTGTATTAAAATGTGAAGTACAGTGAGTGCTTCTCCAGATCTATCACACGAAGGTGGATCGATACCAGACAAAAGAAATGAATGTTTAGTGTGTGTATGTCTCTTTCGTATAACCTTGTAAGTATTACTTCTGTGTGACGTAATTTTGATTTTGGCGGCCATTGGCCAAATTCCGGCTTGATAACATGCAGTTTATTACCTGTGTGTGTTTCCCATGTGCTCTACCAATAACCCTTGAGCTTTCGTTTTAGGAAAGGATTCGAGTCAAGTGCAGGAATCGGTATCGATGTATTCGTAGCGGTTGTTTCGGCGGATGCAGCTAGCTGGTCCTCCAAAACGTTGCTTGTATTTGGCGGTGCGCTGGCACCCAGCAGACTACCACATGCTGTTTGGTTGAGTAGACTGTGCATAAAAGTGAGTCAAGTGAGACAAGGATGGGGTTTCTGTTCTTTGAAGAGCTTTCAGAGCTTTTACTAAGCTTAGGGAATCTGTATATATTATTGCCTTCGGTAGCTTTATTTGTTTGATATATTTAACAGCCGCAAGTATCGCATAAGCTTCGCCAGTGAATATGTTTGTATCAGGGTGCAGAACGCCCAATTCCGAAAAGTATGGGCCGACGGCTACGTACGAGACCAAAGTGTTGGATTTTGAGGCATCCGTGAAGAACTCCAGACATGTGTATTTACGTTGTAGTTCTAGGAAGTATGTCTGAATATGTACAATGGGCGCGTGCTTCGTAACTTCTGAGAAAGACACTAGTACTCCACAAGAACCTAAGTAGCAGTACGCAGGACAATTATGTTAAGTGCCTGCGCGCTCGATACTAGCGGTAAGACTTCACTCACACTAGCCATTCATCCCACAGAAGCAATAGCAAATTATGCTGTTGGGATCGGTGACATTTTCTTTACTAAAGCGTTTGCTAGAACGCTAGCTAGCTCGAGAGATAAGTTTCAAACATTGCTAAGTTACTCTACACTTGAAACTAAACCTCAAGATTTTGAGTGTTTATTATTTTTCCCGCTGCGCTATTGCTCTTATCTTGTTTAGTTTCCAAACAACTTCGCCTATAAACATATGAGATGCACCAGCGATTACATTTTGCGAATATTTTGGTGCTTCTCGTGATGCAGACATCCTAATTTCAAAAACAAATGCCACAACACTCTTCTCTGCCTGGCGAGTCTTATTCCGCATAGTTTCAGCCTTGGTGGAACACTGCAGTGCCTAAGGTGATCGGCTGTTGTGCCGCGGGTCATGGGTTCATTACGAGATGGTGATCACATTTCGATTGAGGCCAATTGGTAGAGGTCCATGTCCTGCACGATCTCTGTGTATGTTTTAAGAACACTAGATCATCAAAACTGCCGGAAGTCTCCACTGCAGTGTCCCGTATGATATTGTTCTTTTTGGAGGTAAACCTTGAGATGATTTTATCTTGCGCGTAGTGACGCAATGTTGCGCATGAACAGCGTTGCACTACAGTGACTTCGTCGATTGGCAGAGGGAACTACGAAACTCCACATTGGCTTCTTCGTTGATGTGTTTTCTAGCTTGCAGCTGTCACTTCTGCCACCCGCTTATTCACCTCGTACCTCGAACCACACTTCTTCACCATGCCACCTGGCATTTATTGACGGAAATGTTGTAGGCCCGTGTACTCAGATTTGGGTGCACGTTAAAGAACCCCAGGTGGTCAAAATTTCCGGAGCCCTCCACTATGGCGTCTCTCATAATCATATGGTGGTTTTGGGACGTTAAACCCCACAAATCAATCAATCAATGGCATTTATTGACGCTATCATCGACCAACATAACCTACAATAATGTAAATGGTGTTGCACCTACACGTCAAAGAAGTGCTGCTTGGTCACCGCCTACACCCTCATGACCATAGCTCGGCGAATTCACTCAAAAGTCGACTTGCTCAGGCTTACTCAGATTCACACCGATTGGTGAGCCTGAGTGAGTCATGGTGAGTACTATTTTAGTGAGTGAGTCCGAGTGATTCCGGCTCGGCAAAATCTTCTAGAGTCGGAGTCGCAGTGAGTAAAGTGCACAAAATATATTTTATGAGGGAGTCTGAATGAGCTCCACATTTTTTTTTTTTTTGCCGGGCAAAGTTTATGACGCAACATCATGTCAAGTTACTCGCCAATTCGGCCCACACTTACAATGGCTTGCTACGCTTACCCCTGCGAGTGATGGAGAAGGCTGAGAAAACTGGAACCATCCAAAGCAAGAGTTTCAACTTGTCCAATACCTTGAAACTATTGCTTTGGATGGTTTCAACTTCTCTAATACCTTGGAGACGCAGGGGGCGCCGACCAGTGCGGACGCGAGAAGATCTGCTTCCGTTTCTGTTAATGTTTTCGTTAGGATTTTTGTGATGCCTGTGCTCGAGCTGCGTTTCATTCGACGCAGTTTCTTCTGAGGATCACGTCGATACCAGACTTTTTTCGGTGAGTGGTCCTTTTGCCGAATTATTGGAACTTTTCTTGTGGAACGCGCCGCGGCTCGGCTAACCCTACCGGGCTCAGCCTAGCGTCGACGGCGAGGGGCGGGAGAAAAGGGGCAACATGCCCGAAGTAGAGATGGTGGAAGGAGAGGAAATCTCTCACGAAGAAGCCAATCGCCCGGGTTGGACGACAGCACTGGGCAGGTACAAGAAATCTCGTGTAGAAAAGCCTGTTTCCGCCGCGGGCAACGCATCACATGTGGGCTCGAAGGGAGGCCGCCGCACGGCAGCCCCGCAAGGTGCAATGAAGCGCCTCGCAGCTGCATCGAGGCTCCGCCGGCTGCCGAGGGACCACATACGAATTATCGTCAGGCCGATGGACAGACTTGACGTCAGAAAAGTAAGCCAAATTAGGCTCGCAGAGGCTATTGCCATGGCGGCTGCTCTTGCCCCGGCAGAAACGGAAGGGGACATCGTTTGCCCAAACATCGCCCAGAACATTCTCGTAGTTTCCACACCGGAGCAGAAGAACGCAAACGCCTA